TTTTAATTACTTTTTTACTGGTAATTTAAACAGATTACAAAACGTATTTATGTAAGTTTATAAGAGATAGTTTAATATTTGTAATTAATAAGATAACTTTTTTAAGGCATTTTTATGTTCCACATATTGGTGTCAAATAAAAAATTCAAATTTTATTATAAAAACGTAAATTTTTTGTACTGTCTATTCTTTTAGAATCTTCTTCAATATAGAAGTAGCTAGACCTGGTAAATCAAAACAAATCACTTAACTTATTGCGCGTATACCAAAACTTAACAAAAAAGTTTGCTTTAAAGTTTCGGAAATGTGTATTCTTTGATACTTAAGACGTCGTGAACTCTTTGTTCCAATGGAAGGGTGTTTACGTTTTGTTCGCATTTTTAAGCAAATAAAAAGTTCATGGTAAAAACAAGTGGAGGACTTAGCTTCACTTGGCATTTCCAGCTGGCGTCAGTTGGAACAGAAAAGAAACGTCTGGCTGGCTTTGTTGAAGTCGGCCAAAATCGCTTAGGCGATTACAGCGCCAAATAAAAAGAAAAAGAAAAGTTCATAAAAATCCCATTTAGCTTTTCAAGAACAAACCGATTGACCCTTGTCAATGTGGATTCAGGCCCGACAAATCCATAATTCACCCGATTTTGATAAGTAAATCAACACACATGCTTACATACAAGCAATCGCCGCCACTTTTAATAACCTTAGTTTTGTATAAAATGACATAGAGTACTACTTTCAGTTAATGGAAAATTATGGCAGATCTCTCTGAGGCATTTGAAGACAAACGTGGCATTCGATTAGGCGATCAATTTCAGAATGAGGCAAAAGAGGATATGGAGGACAGGACAAAGTATCGCCCGGCAGTAGAGAAAGAATATTCACCTATTGAGGCATATATCTGTTTTGCAAAGACGCCAAGGACTACCACCGAGAATATCGTTGGTACTGAGATCAAATGACGAACACACCTTGCCAAGAGTGTGCAACAGTGCACTTTCATGCTCCACATATTGGTTGAGCTGAGATTGGGCGTTCTTCAACCAAATTGTAAGATAGGGTGTTTTTCAATCAAATTCTGCAGTAGCGCCCTACTTCTTGAAAAGTTTTCTGAGATAGGGCATTTTCGTACTGGTTGGCCAGATAGGTCGATCTTCCACTCAGCCGTGGAAAAGTGGAAAATGGATTTTGTCAATATTTTTTTGAAAGCGCAATAAAGTCCATGTATTTTGCTTCGCTTTTGAAAAGGCAATAATACTTCACCCAGAAAAAAGTCGGTTGCTTCATCACATAATTTGGTTACATTGTTACATTGTTTAGTTATAGTTATCAAATCATGTGTTGAGAGAAATATTTTTAGTTGGCTTTTTTCTGGGTGTATACTATATTGCAGTACGGTTGGCAACCCTAATATTCCACTCAGCCGCCGATATGTACATAGAATACAGCTTTAAAAGCTCACTAAAAAAAAAATAATAGAAAAACAAAAAGAAATAAAATTTTTTCGGGAGTGTGACTCGATCGCACCACTCTCGGCCCACTTAGTCCGTAATAATGCCATCTGCCAGGTTACAATTTTGATCGGATCTAGTCTGCCGTTAATGGTATCCATTATTCTTTCTTTCATTCTCCTTTTCGTACTTGGCAGCTACACATATTTATTTCTTGCTAGCTCTGAATTGAAACAAAATCTCTTTATTTAAGGAAATTATGAATTTATTGAAAAAATTTGTGATTTTTTTGGTTATTTCTTTTTTTGACAAAATTAAAACTTTTTTTTTATATATATATTTTTATCTTCTCTTTTAATATAAATGGTAAAAACGTGTATACGTGTATGTACTGATAACATGCAAAAACATACGCTATACAATTTTCTTTTAAAAAATATGGGAGTTTCTACATGTGTGTTGAATGGTTTTACTTTTTACTACATAATAAAAGTTTTTTTTTTTTGTTTATATTTTTCAAGTTTATAGGTATTTATATATGTAAATCCATTTACATCTACGTAAGGCAATAAGTTGCATTTACAATACATATGTATGTCATTTAGGCATGTTGAGAAATACCAAATGCATTAGCATATAAAATAAATGTAAATGTAAAGGCAAAACAAATTTTCGTAAACAATTTTTTTAGCACAACGAGTTTTTGATAAAAGCATCTTTAGATATACATATGAAGTTTTTCGAGCCCACATGAAAAGGCGTTTGAAAGAGTATTTTATTTACAACAGAAGAGAGAGCGAGCGAGCGAGGACGGAGCGCATTATTTGATAAGGGTAAAAAATGGTCACCCTGTAGCCCTGTAACTATCCATGTAGCGAGTGATTACAAAATGAATTATACAAAATAAAATAATGTAAAAAACTTAAATATACACAGATTTATAAATAAAAAAAATCTACAGTTATTCGCATTAAAACTCAATAAGTCAAATTAAGATTTGTGATATTCGATTTGTGGGTTGATGTGTGAATGCAATTTACCTTAAATAAAAAATATGTATAAATTAAAAGTAAATGAAATATATGTATGTATGTACTAAACTAATTGCTCATTGCTCCTGGCGTCATTGCATATTATTTTGCTTAATTATTTTCCTTTCTACAAATGTGTTTAAATTAATTTTTAAGGCACTTTTTTTACTTTCAATTAACATTAAAATTTTATTTATTAAAACGTACACATACACTACACATTTTCGGACGCTCATCTGCTGTTGCATATTTATTTTTAATTTGCCATATTTGTACACACATATGTATGTACACATATATGTACATATACCCATATAAGCAGAGAATATGCCAGCCAAATGCAATATGTATCAACAATGCAAGCAATGCTGCTGTTTTTTTTACAAATCGGATAATCAAAGGACTATCGGCTAGTTCGTAAAACTATTTCAACTTCATTCGGTTGCTTCAAATTTGTTATTGAAAACAAGCGTCCCAAGTATTTTAACAGTTACGGACAGTGGTGATTTCAAGCGGTTCTTCAATAGAAACCCTTCCAGGTTACGGTATGTATCCAATAACAAATTTGAACAACGTGAAAACTCTAATTTTTACATACAGTTCAACTGCACAAGTTTTTTTTTTGTTGGATTTTAGATATTTTGTAATATTTTTGTTGTTGGTAATTTTTAAAACGAACAAGTACTCATATTCGAACTCCTTTGGTCCATTGCCTTGCTCATTGAGGTTTCTGTTAATTTTTTTGTGTTTTTTTTTTGCATACATCCTCTCTTCTCATCGGTAATTTTCATAGCAAAAATTAATTTTGGCCCAATGGTGGATTTATGATATTTTAGATTTAACTTTTAATTTTCACTGACTAGCATTTTATGTTAATTTTTGCTTTCGTTAAAATCTAACTGAAAGCTTAATTTTTAAGTTCTTCCCCAAGATTTTATGTGTTTTTCTTTTTGTTTTCTTTAGTATTTTAGTCAAGCGTGAGATAACCCATTTTCTGGTAATATAATGTTGCATCCTTGCCAAACGCCATTGTGATAGTTCCACACAGCCCACATTCAGCAAAGTCTGTACATATGTATGTAAGTAAGTTTGTATTAAAAAAAAGTGCGCCCACACACGGACAGCCAAAATCAATGGGGGAGCAGCAGGCGGTTTGGTCTCACTACGGAGTCATACTGTTCCACAATGGATGGATGGTCCATCCTTTCTGTCGCATGGATCATACAAATAAATGCTGGGAGTCCACAGCGACCAAGGTGGCGCAGCAGTCGATCTATCCATTTTGTCAGCATCGCTTTTACGCATTAGCTCCTTGCCCTTGTTTTCCATGCTGTCGCCGCAACTGCAGTCGGTTTGTTTCGTTTGCGCAACCAATACGACTTTATGTGACCTTGTCACATCCACATCGCACACTACAGCCGCCTCATGATTGCAGTTGAAATAACGATTCGTCAAATAGCCATCCACGTAGATCTGTGTGGACGGAAAAACAAAAACGAGCCGATGAGGAGTGAGTGTGGAAGCATACATATGTACATAATTAATCGCACGTACCTCGTAGCCACCAATGCCGCAGCAGTCGTGGATAACCCACTTTACATATAGTGATGAGGCTCCCAGTTCGCTAACCTCTGTGATGGTAACGGGGAAGCTTTGACGTGAACAGACCGAGGCGCGCGTTGGCGTGGTGTTCTGGAATTTGTAAGGTGAAAATAGTATTTGCTGTTTGTTAGCTTAAGTTTTATTTTAATAGTGTAAAAAGCCTACACTAATATTTACGGCGACTAAAACTTCTGCTTTCGAAATTACTCAATTTTCGCAGGATTATGACTTTTTTTAAATAAATATATTTATTATTTAAAGTCACCAAACCAGGTTGGTGGAATGCTAGGAAACTTACTGCCTATTCAAAAACGGCTTTGTTATTTTAAATAATTTCTTATTTCAAAACTATATTCTAATGGCCTTATTCATAACAAAGTAATTTTCAGCAAAAAAAACCGACTTCAACTCTCATTTAAAAAAAAAATATATTTATATATATCTCATGATCCACTGATTGGATCTTAACCAGATTAGTATGGGACCACTTCTGAGATTCTATATTTCCGATGCAAAAAGAATTATCGAAATCGGTTGACGTGGTCCAAAGTTATGCGGTAACATATATAAAAAAAAAATAAAAATAAAAATAAAAATAAAAATAAAAATAAGATAAAAAAATATTCCGACGAACTGATAACCTCCTCCTTTTTTGGAAGTCGGTTAAAAACAAGTAATTTTTAGCAAAAAAAAACCGACTTCAACTCTCATATAAAAAAAAAATATATATATATATATATCTCATGATCCACTGATCGGATCTTAACCAGATTAGTATGGGACCACCTCTGAGACACTACCCTTCCGATGAAAAAAATGTAATTTTATAGAATTCTATTTACCTACTTTATTAACCGACGTCCAAAAAAGGAGGAGGTTATCAGTTCGTCGGAATATTTTTTTATTTCATTTTTTTTGTATGTATGGTTACCGCATAATTTGGGACCACGTCAACCGACTTCTATAATTCTTCTTTTTAAGGAAAAGTTGGTACCTCAACGGTGATCCCATACTATTTTGGTTTAGATCCGAACATTCGATCTTGAAGAAATTAACGATAATCTTAAGTTTATATGTGGGAATTAAAGTCGGTTTTGTTTTTTGCTTAAAAATTACTTGTTCGCGATGGATGATCACAAAAAGAAATGCGAGATGAAATAGACACGTTTTATTATAAGTGGGCGGTGCCATGCCCAGTTTCACAAAAGATTATAAAATTGTTACGAATTTTAATTTTGAGAAATATGACAGTTTTGGCATTTTTCAAAAATATCCCTTTGTAGGTGAGCTTTGTTTTGAATCGACTTTACCTATTTTCGATTTATCGTAGTTACCTTTTTCTTGTTTTTAGATAAAAATTTATTCTCAAATTAAATGTCATTTCCATCCCTGCTTTGTATGCACTCAGTGAGTTTTCGATATATTAGAGATGTTGTAGTGACAAAAAGTCAATTTTTAAGTAAACGAATAACTGGAAATGGCGGAATGACAGAGAATTATTAGAAAGAAACCAGCGAAGCAAAAAGGCAAGGCGTAAAAGGTATATTCACGATTCAATAATAAAGAAATCATTAAATATTATTAAATAATCTTAAAATGCAAAGCATTATCAGAATACAAAATCTCATCATAATTCTTAGAGCCGTTTCCTAGAAGCCTATGTACATATCTTTATATATTTTATTTTTGTCTAAAAACTTTAAGAATTGTAGAGTAGTTGTCCATGATGAAGGCCCCCGTGTTAAACACACACGTAAACATGTACGTACGGCATATTTCCTTAAAATAAATTCATAATAACACTTCTCGAGTCCTTACCTGTTCGATTTGTTTTTTACGCCGCGCCTTATCCATCGCATCCAGGTCCATTATTATAGAATCGATAAAGAATTTCTGTCGAAATGAGAAACTCAGCGCCAAATACATATCACAGACCTTTTCCAATCGAAATCGTATCACTTACCAATTCTCTGCAATTGTACTGGTCCTGCGCCTGATCCGTTGTCGCAATGGTCAGGCAATTTTGTTTGTCACGCATTGCCTGGCAATGGCAGCAGCTGCATTCTCTACCATCACTCTTCTTCGTTGCATTGGTTGTTGCCGATTGAGCTGACGAGACATGTGTTTGCGATTGGCTCGGTTCCGTTACGATGTCGGTGTTCTCTCCATACATGCCATTGCATTCTTCTTCCTCGTCGATGGGCTGCGAACAGTCACATGTCACTGAAGTTTCGCCTTGTGCGACCACTGGCATGTAAAAGCCATGCACCGGACAAATGTAAGGCTGATTGCAGATGCATTCTTCGGGAGAAACCTTTCTAGATGCCACGTCATTGGATTCTGATCTAGATGATTCTGTGCATTGTTTAGGTTCGGCTGTCAACGCCAGCGCTGCTATCTCCTCGATCAATTCGAGATCTCCAATACAGCTGCTAGGCAATCCCTTCAAGCTGCAAAAATCCTCAGCGGTTGCTTCCCGAATTTGCTGTTTCGTTGAGCACTTTGTGCCCACTTCTCGTGTCGGCGCAATCTGCATCTGCTGTGGCGTTTTGGTCGCACAAGCGGGGACATGCGGGCAAGGCGCGCACGTCAGCAAGTTTGGGGTGATGATAAGATTGCATGGCAACTGCAGTGGTATGTTTATGGGCTGACCTAGAGGCTGCGGCTCGGACATTTCCGAAGGTGCGCATGATGCATTAGGACTGGTGGCTTTGCGACTCGGCGTGAATGTTATTTTGAAGCCGGAACTGAAAGGGCCATTATCCGCCACTGGCTGCTCCGAGCCAAGCGCACCGATACTATGCATTTTTGTCGGTGCCACATCGCAACCATGTGCTCTGCCATTCTCGTCCGACTGATTGATTAATTGAACTACTTCGCGTAGTAATTGAAGTATAGCCACATTTCGTGGCGGGTTTTTATTCGACTTTGGCTTTTTCTCTTTCCCGGGCGAAGTGAATTCGCAGTCCATAAATTCTCTCTTTGTGGTTATTTCTTTTTTATTCTGTCCATTCCCTTTGCCTGCCGACGGTGGCATGCAATCATCCCGTTCAGATGACGCTGAACTAAGAGAATAGAACTCGTCATCACTTGTCGAATTTCTGCCGGGACTACCCGCAGGCGCCATGCCACTAGGCAGACGTATTGCATAGGACGGTCTAGCCGGGGGATGCGCCGATGATATGGAGATTTCGAATGGACACCTACAGCTTAACTGGCCACCGGATTCAGATGTAGATCGTGGGTAGTAACTTTTACAAAATGCTCCAGCTGAGGTGGCAGTGGAAGCTTGGGAATTTTGAGAGTCTTGTGGGCTGGATCTGCTATTGGCTGACGACTGCTCTGCTGGCTGGTGATGGAAGCATGTTACCAACTGTTCTAAAGGCTGTTCTGGGCGTTGTTGTTGTTGTTGTTGTTGTTGCTGGTATAGCAGCGATTGCTGCTGTCTTGTTTGTGGTTGCGGCTTCCGCTGTTGATGTTGTTGCTGTTGCTGTTGCTGTTGCTGTTGCTGTTGCTGTTGCTGTTGCTGTTGCAGTGGATGGTGGGGATGCTGTTGTTGCTGTTGAAAAATACGCTGACATGAACATTGTACGGGAGGTAATGGCTGCACCGCTGCTGGTGGTGGCTGCTCGGTAATAGTCGGCCCATTGGTCTCCATAACTACACGATAATTGGATGGACAGTTGATGCAGGACATTGTACCGTATTGTGCATGGGGTTCTATGCGGAGGTGAATGGTTTGGGCGCTATTTAGATGCGTGTAATCTCTGTGAGTATCAGTTTGGGAGCACTTTTCTGCAGTGCCTGTAAACAGATAAGGGATACAAAAAACAAATCGAGAAAAACCGCAAATTAGATAACAGAAAATATTTTGACAAAATCTACGAATTATTTCAATAATTTTGAATTTAATATTAAGTCCGTGCTTCCGTGTCAAAATGAAAATAACAAATACAAAGTACTTGTTGTGGCTGGAAGAATCAATCATACATATTTATGTACATGAGCATGGCAGGGTTAAAACAATTTCGAAAAAGTTTTTTTTATTCATCTCATATCTCTCCAAAAAAAAGTATTTTAAAGATTTATAACAAAAAAGTCTACAGTAAAAGCCTAGTTATGCATACTAAGCTTTACTTGACTCGACTTGGATAGTTGCCACATAGTGAAGCAGTTCAATGAGTTTTGCGTGTAAAACAAACACAAACAGACGGCAACGTTAAATGAGTTAACGACGCAATGGATGCGATTAAAATTGTAGCCTGATAGATGGCAGTATTGCATAGTGAACGAGTCACGGTCAATTACGGTCGTTAGAATTAAATACTAAATTTAATAAAATGCAACTAAAAAGCTTTTTCCATAATTTTGAATTTTTTCTGCATATGACATCGAACCTGGGTCCTATTGAGTTGGTTTAATTCAGTATCAATACCTTAATAGCACTTGGCTACATATGTACATATATATGTACGCCGGCCTCCAAATTTGCTTATGAACCTCTTTTTTCGCAGATTGCCATCGAAATCTCCCCTGGCCCGCATTAATTTTGAAAGTTGTATCTATCACTTAATCGAGATTATGAATTAGCTCATTAAACCGGATTAATTCTGCCATCTGTCTAGGCTATAAGCAATGCAAATTTAACTATGCCTTAAAGTATAGACAGACGGCAGCGTTGATTCAGCTTAACTCATTGATTCGATATTATTTCGGAAATTAACTGCATTTAATCCGAATTAAGTCCTACAGCTAATTATTAGCTGTAAAATAAACGAAGCAAACAAGTAAATAAAGATCTGTGGCTGCACAATACAACTCAATAGGGCTCAGGTTCGTTCTCGAGCTGGATAAATCTCTAAAAATTTGATTTTAAAATTTTTATTTTTTAGTTATATATTATTTATAATTATTATTCTCATTTTCGATGCTGGTGTTTCCGACAGGATAGGGGAACCATTTTTGGACATCCTTGTCAAATTTGGTGTGGATTCAAACTGCTTTCGGCGTTATGCCATCTTCGGTGTAATTTTTTGTTCTGAATAGTTTGTTTGTTCGTCACGGGTGGTGTTACTAGATGAGATGATTTTGTGTATGTGTTTCGCCTCAGGGTTTAGAATGTCAAATTGAAATATTTTGTTTGCATTGCCACACACACTCTTACAGATTTTGACAGTTCACGACGCAAAAGCAAAATACATGGAACTTTTTGTTTTTGTACTTCTGTATGAGCCATTTAGTATAGTGGTTTGGTAATTACAACCAAATATCCAACTATGACATTTGGCTACTATAACCGTTGCTACACCAAGAATAATAACTAAATATTTTTATCAGTGTACATTAGAAAAAAATAATAACCGAGAGAACGAAAAAAATTTAATAAAAGTTTTACTGGCCGTAGGCGCCAATTTGAAAGGATAAACTGCGCCACTAATCCGGATTAACGTTGCCGTCAATTGCATTGAAATATGAGGTTACTAGGTTCGAACCTCGGAAAGGCAGAGAACTAGAGACCGTAACAGTTACAACTTCTATTAAAAAAAATCGCTTCTTAAGAATTATTTTTTTGATTATTATTTAATTACCTCTTTTATTTTATGAATCGAATATAACAATTATTTTTGATTTTTATCTAAATAATCTGCAAACAACAGTTATTTTTGATTTTTAAGTTATATGTCTTAGATAACAGTTATCGAAGACTTTTATTTTAAAAGTCATAAATAAAAATCAGTCACTGACCTTTATTTTTTAAATCATGCTTATAAAAGTCATTTGTATAAGTCGTAGTAAACTGTTGTTTCCCAATACCTTCTTAACTGCGAAAAATGTTAATGACTTTTATACGAATGATTTAAAAATAAAAAGTCGGTGACTGATTTATATTGATGACTTATAAAATTAAAAATCACTGACTGATTTTTATTGATGACTTTTATAACTAAAAGTCTTCTATATCTGTTATCTAAGACTTATAGTATAAAAATCAAAAATAATTGTTTTGTTTTTGGTTTTATAATATAAAAATCAAAAATCAATCGGTGAAAAAAGAAAGCGATTGGTACGTATCACTTAGTTGTAGAACATTTCCTTCATAGTGAAGTTTTCCAATACAGTTTCCCTGCAGAGAGCGCATTCGAAAAACTCTTCCGAATTAAAATAACTGATTTGTAAATTCCAAACTTCTTTTTTCGATTAGTTTACTTAACGTCACGTTTACAATTAGATTTTAGTTCTTTGTTTTTAATTTTACAGTTACAGTTACTATATAAATGTTTTTTGTTTTTTTTGCTTTTGTAGACAATTGCCCTTTAAAGGCGACAGACAACAACTGTTACAACTTATGTTGTACCCCCTCGGTCGTGTTCGACAACATCCTCCAAATTCACTGGTTCACCTCGTATGCGCTCCGTCAATTTATTATCGGTGCTCCACATTTCCTCACCAGTCATTTCCAAATATTTTGCCTCGGCTCTTTCGCGGCAGGGGCAAAAATCGAAGTTAGACGTGTTAGTGCATTTAGCCCGCGAGTGGTAGTCAACAAATATAGAGCCCTTCAAGCGACACTTGCACACCTTGATTTTTTCATGCTTGATTTGATCGATTTGGCTATCTGTGGCTCGCTTACGCCAAGGACATAAGCAGCACCCGCAGTTGTGAGGACAGAAAACATTTCCTTCGGCATCGATCAGTGGACTCGGATCGTAGCGACACGGCGAGCAGATGTGGATGTCTTTATGCTGAGGCAAGGCTTTGAAATATTTGGGTTTGACTGGCTCTATGGGCACTTCCGGGTGCATTGGCATTGAAGACGTTGGTTTGCTGCAAATGCCACAAGCTCCTAATTTTGGTGGTTCTTTTGGAGCACGATATTTGTTGCAAATTTTACAGAGGTCGGCTGTGGCTTCGCCTCTGGAACTAACGGCTGGGGTCTTTCCTCTAGTGCAAATACCACAAGGACCCACTTCTGTTTCGATTGGCGGGGCGGCTCCTCTTGAACAAACTCCATGTGGAGATTTTCCTGCTTTTGCCATGCCCCTTGAACAAACCGCGCCAGGACCTTTGTCTCCGGGACTCTCAACAGGTGTGCCATCTTTTGGGACATCTAATTCAACTGATTGGTGAACTGGTGGAACAAGTACCACCAGCGAATTCTCTGTTTTTGTAGACTTTCCACTCGGTCCCTTTAACGGCGGCACCGCTGGTAATTCGCTTGTTTGTGGCGGTTGAGTTGGCTGTGGCGAACAAATACCACACGGAGGTTTCTTAGTCGATTCCGGCTGCATATGTGAATGCTCCCCCCTGCGCCCACATAAAACACACACACCTTGGCTAGCTGTTTCCGATAACGAAGCACCCACAGATGGCACCGAAGACGCTGCTATTGTGGCCACGAACGGTCCTTGAGTAACGGGAGTTTGCTGTATCTCGATCGTTCGTTTCGACGCAGTGGAAGCGGTAGGTACTTCAGGTGTACCTTCAGTCGTCAGGGGTGCCGATGCCGGTACTTCTATTTGCACTTTTGACGCAACCACATGAGCAGCCGGTACTTGCATGACAGAGTCGTGGGGGACTTGTAAAGGCAATGGAAGGAAACCAGGCTGCATGGCTGCCATTTGCTGCAACAAATCCGCATGAAAATTAAATGCTGGTGCAGGTCCTTCCATGGGTATGCCTATTAGATAACAATAAGATTATTTGTTTGTGATTCATACGGTTTGGTCTATGTCGGCTTACTGCTCACTTCCGGGCGTGGCGCCACTATAGTGTCTGTGCGTATTGGTTCCATCGACGCAAACATTTTGGCCATCTGGTCGTTATCTTGCACTGCTATATGCTTCCTGATTTCATATGATTGCTGGGACTCCGAATAGGGAAAGTTGTGCTGACGTTGTCCTTGTCCTTTCCTTTGGCCCTGTCCATGTCCTTGCAGGTGTAATTTTAGAGGAATTGTAAATAAAATCGGATCAATACGAATATTTGGCGAGACGTTCGATTTGCCTTCCGCTACCTTGGCGGTAACCTCCAGCTGGACTGTGCGGGACTGGGGTTTCATGTTGCGCACATCACATTTACAACGCGAACCGCACCCCCTGCGCTCCCTGCGACCACTACCCTCGAACTCGACCAGGAGCATTTGGGCCGTATTGATCACTTGTTTTAACGCATCGCGAAACATTCGAGAATCTTTTACCGGCGGTGGAGCAGTTGGCCCACTCTTGGAATACACAACAACGCTTGGCTGATTTATTTCAACATCGCTAAAGCAATCATAGAACACGTCATACTCACTAGGAGTTTCCGTGAAGTTCGGCTCAACATAAAGTATCTGGGTCGAATTACCAGCATTTGGTAAGGCTGCCGTCTCCGCTCCTGGTCTGCTCGGCATTCTGGATGATCGCTTCGCATCTTTGTTCATGTGGGCGTAATTAATTTTGTTGTATTTGTCCATTATGCAAAAGTTTGACAAATATTTAATTTTTTTGCGATTTTTTCGCTCTTTTCACAGAAAATTTTGAAGTTCAGAAATTCAATCAACAACAAATGAGAATCAAAGGAAAATTCATTTCAATTAGTTTTCAGTTTGAAAATTTTATGATAACTGAACGAAAGTTTCTGACAACTGAATTTATTTTATGAAATTGAAACAAAATTGACGATGCAGGAAGTGAAAACAGTAGAGTGCTACACATTTTTTGAAAACGAAATCCGAGTATTTGCGTCATTTGACGAATCATTCATTTATTACGGCTTTTCACCACAATTGACTTTTTTAATTTTTGTTTTTACACTCTGATAAAAACATACCAGCTATTCCTGTCCTAAAACGCAAATGCTTCCAAATAAATTGATATATCTACGAATTTATACAGCTCCCAGATATGTATTAGTACTGCAGTTAAGCATTTCGTATTCAAATCCCATTTCCGTCGATACCCGTTGAAGTTTACACTGAATTTGTCAAGAGGATTTCGTAATTACTTATCGCCTCTGTTCGCATTTCCCTTTCCACCGGATAGTAGACAGTGCAATAGAATTCCGATTCCATTCTCTTGGTATGGAAATCCATGAGTTGTTCATTAATTTGATCTTCGATTTGTTGCATCATCTAGGGAATCGCAAAAAATGAGTCATTAATGAATGCAACCCAAGGAATTGTGTTTGGCAATGTGTGGTGAGTGTGTGTACGAAATGTGGTGGTTGGTGAGCACACCGCAGCGGAAAATACGCACCGGCACCTTCAGCGGCTTGAAGAGTTCCTCGAGCACATGCAGGCACGACATTGCATTCACGAAGTGTTCATAATTTTCCGTCGATACTTGTTCGTTGTAGTCCGAGTCGAAAATCGAGTAGGTTTGCAGTATTTCGAGGCCATCACGAAACTCTTTGTCGGCTTCCCAACGTTTTAATAGATTTTGGTTAAACTCGATCAGCTCCAGGGAATTTTTCGGCAGTGACGTCTTAAGCGTACTGAGAAAAACACGAATCTGCAAGGGAACAACATCGAGCAAACGCTCGGGATTCATATCGTCGTTCACCTGAACACCGATCTCTTTGTGTTCATTGCAGGTACCTTCCGTCTCAGTTCCCTTGTCGATTTTTTCGAACTCAGTTTCGGTGAAGGCATCCACCTTTAGTTGCAGCTCGATGCCATCTTCTTGCAGCGAGTGGAAGCTATCGAAGCGTTGAAGTATTTCCGATTGGCTTATCTCGACGTCGCTCACATCGTGGAAATGCTGCGGCCGATGAGCATTGAAGCACGACACAATGCGACGTACGCGTGTGTGTAAAACACGGCGTTTCAAACGGCGCTTTCGGTTCCTTTGGGAGGTGGATATCGAGAGCCGTTTTATGGTTTCAGCAGCCTTAGAGGACTCGCATTGACTTGCTGAAAGCATTCGCAACTCCGAAGGCACCTCGCAAATCGGTTTCAGACAAGTGGACTTTTCTTTGGGGGTCATAAAAAGGGGCTTGAGACACACGTCTATGACAAACTGTGGCATGAGTGCCATCGCGACTGTTAGATCTTGCGTGGGTAAGGGATCATCGCCATTTCCCTCTGGCTCTTGGGAAACTTCTAGTTCGGGAGCTTCAAAAAGCTCCGCAACCTTCTGTTCTTCCACAACCAACTCATTGTCATTGTTAGATTTTTCGGTTTCGGGGGGATTCACCTGACTGATTTCTATGTTAACGCTTACCTCATCGTCCAGCGAATCGCCATGCAGTAGGCTGTCTGCCAGCCTCTTTACATCGCGAGCCACGCTCGAGAACTGCTGGTGGGAAGGTAAGTTTGTCTCGCATTCCTACAAAAAGAGAGATGTTCAAAAAAATATTCAAATTTAAGGAGGGCATTTATAGTACTTTACCTTGAAATTACGCAACGCATTCCCTAAGCCAGTGCTGGCTGACTTTAGATCTTTGACGTCTTCGCGCTTGAAACGTTTCGACGGGCTTCCACTCAGCTCTTGTGCCAAGCTATAGCCTTCCGATCGTTCCAGCCGTTTCTCGAGCTTCTGCACCATCTCCTCCTTGCTCTTCACCTCGTCTTGCAGCACGCGTATCTTGTCTTCGCACTCCTTCTCGGTATTCTGTAGTTTGACAATCTGCTGCTCCAGTGTGGCCACTTCTTCTTTTAGCTCGCTGTTAGTCACTTCAATATGTAAGAACTCCTTCTTCAGTTCGAACAGCTGTCCCTGCAAAGCTTCCACTTCGGTCAAGTTTCTTGACTCAGTTTCCTGTTGCAATTTTCGCATGAAGCTGAGTTCATCGTTCAGGGTCTTGTTGCGTTTCTTCTCCTGCTCCAGCTGGTCGATTGTCGGCTTTTGTTGCTCTTTCAACGCATCCAATTGCTCCCTGACACGTTCGTATTCCGCGCTTATGGATTCATGATCATCCGTTAAGTCACGATGTTCCTTGGACACGCGCACAAGACAGTTCTTCAAGTCGCGCTCTGCTTCTTCCAATTGACAGATCTTCTCGTTGGCTGCGCGCGCATCATCCCGCAAACAGTCCTGAAGCTTCTGTATTTTCGACTTCAGGCAGCACTCCTTGGCACGGTACGCCTCCTCACGATCCTTGTACTGACGCTCTAGTTCTACCCAATGGCAGTCAGCCGACTCCATGGCCTCGTAATGACGGGAATTCAAGTCCTTAATTTGACTTCGTAAACATTTCACTTCTTCCTTCAGGTACTGGCACACACAGTTCGACACTTCAGGGCTCTCATTGCGATAAAACTGATCTTCGCAGTTAAAGTTTGGCATTGGAGTAGCGCGAACAAATTGATTACCCGAAAATGCGGGTAATACATCATTCACCTGTTCAGAGACTATTGGCATCACGTTGCCCATTTCAGTATCTGGGTTCTTCGCAAGTGACTGAGTTTCGTTTGTTTTCCTAGGCGTTCCTGGCCGTGATGTGCAGTCGCTGCTGTTGGTGTTCGCCCACTGCGTGAACGTGATCGTAGTGTAGTACGTCAATAACAATGGCAACAAACTATGAAGTATCTCTAGATTCTCTTTGGCTATCTGCTTGTCTTCCTCGAGGTGACGAATTTGCGTTTCGGTTACGGCTAGGTCGTCACGTAAAATCAAACACTCAGAACGGCAGTCTTTGTACTTGGCACTCAATGCTTCTCTGGACATTTCCAGCTCAACGTTTCGTTGACTGAGAATTTCCAGCTCGACTTCCAACCGCTGTAGGCGTAAACGTGTGTCGTTCTCAGCCTCCTCGAACTCACACTTTTCCTCTTCGAGCGTTAAATTCTCACTTTCCAAAAACTCGACACGGTCGCGAAGCTCCTTCAGCTCTTTCTCCAACAAAATCTCACGTTGTAGACGATCGGCCAATCGCTTGGTCTGCAAGTCACCGGAACTCTCGTATATGAGTACCTTGTTCTCTAGTAGCGCCACACGGTCTTTGTAATACTGCAGCCGCTTTTGGTCGCTTAAATTCGGCGATAGTTGGGCAGGTACTTTGGTCGCGCCGACCTTGTGTGTGGGATCGGTGCGCTGGAGTTTTTGTAGTTCGTTGCAAAAATCGCGCGCTGCGTATGCAATACTCTCTTCCTCGAAGTCGGTCTGAGTGCAGGCGTTGTTCTCACTGACGTCGCTCAAGAAATCCGACTCAACGAATACGCCGCTCTCACTGAGGCTGTTGCTCAGCCAGGCCTGGCGGGACTTGCGTGGCGAATCGGTTGGTGTATTCGTCGGAACCAACTGATTGTTACCGCTGCTGTGATTGTAGGCGGCCTGATGCTGCGGCGAACTGTTATAGGGCGAAACGGTTGCCACAATACGGGCTGCGTTGGGGAGCGGTGTGGCAGGTACGGCAGGTTTTGTGACCGATTTCAAGCTTGGATTGCTGCTGCTGCTTCTGCTGCCTGTATTGTTGCTTGCCTCGTACGCGGAGCGAGCGCTTGAAGGCGATGATGCTGAACTGTAGTCCGATATACGCGATTTTACCTTCAATTTTCGAGTGTTTTGTTTGGGGAAAAATTAAAGCAAATGAGATTTGTTTATTCGCTATAAATACACGTAATTTAAATGTGAGAGAAAGGGTACTTTTTATTTCATTTTGCTAAACGAGAAATGATTGAAATAAAAATGTATGCGTTGCTTTTTGAAGAAAGCAATTCGAAAGCAATTACGTATGTGGAAAAAAGTCAGATGTAAACACGCAAATGTCGAACAGAGTAGCCGTGTCAAGCAAAATGTTGGCGCTCAAGTGGATGTACTAAATATGCAGAGAGATCAGTGCAATAATCTTCGCTTACCAAATCCAAGCTGCTGGCCTCATCACTCGAACACGAGTTGGTATTCAGCGAATTGGATTCGCTGCGTTGCGCCATCAAATCCAAATGTTGCACCAATCGAATGAGCTGCTGCAGACAGTCCCTGTCCTCGCTATCGAGAATGGACTTTTGCAACATTTGTGAAATCCGGCGACGTAACTCTTCATTGGCAGGATCAATCAGCTGGTTGTCAAAGAGAAATATCGATTATTTTTTCCGTTATCTTACTGAAACTTTGAAACACTCACATTGATTTCATTTTCCGCATGCTGCTGATTATTTGGCGATGTGATGCGGGAATCAACGCTTGCGGCACCATTTCCACATTTTCCAAATATCAGCTGCATGGGATCTTCCTGATTCGCCCAAACGTTCTTTACTGTCGGGGCGGTGGCAGTTTGTGATGTGGTCGAAGCTGTTGTATGGCTCTGCACAGACCACTGAAAGAGAATTTGCAATTGTTAGAGCAAAGCGAAAAATACATGCATAAATAAGTATGTTTTTCTATGAATGAAAAAATGCATTTTTAAGTTTTTAGATATTTCGGGTAAATTATTTCTATACATACCCTGCAGAAAAAAATTATCAATTGAACAAAATAACCAACTTCTAGTTAGCTTTTCTGCGGGATTTCGATAAATAACTAACTGTTAATTAGCTATGACAAAACTAACTTTAAGTTAAGTTAAGTTAAGTTAATACACTTTTTTATGCATTTCGCAGATTCTTTTTCGTGTTCAGGGCAAATAAAATAAAGGTCGAAATTTTGTATTATCATTTTGATGTTAGGTCTGATCGAATTTAAATGCGAGACCAACTACAAAAGAATATCGACAGGTCGGTGGTTTTCGACGGGGCGCGATGCTAGCAAAACGATGCAACTCAGGCGACAACTCCAACGATAGCGAAGGTATTTATCTGCTTCACAGCACACAACAAATTTTAATCCACAAAACAAAAGTTTTAAGTGAAAAAAAAATGTTGCTGCTAAAATTGTAAGCGCGTCTAACTAAAAAGCAATCAACATGACTGAGCATGCATGAGCGCCTGGCATGTGAGCGCCAGCAACAAGCAATTACAACTTGCAGTAGCATTCAGCGAACACCCAGCCTACGCCAACCAACTGCCACCCCACTGCTGCAAATGGGCAATCATTAGCGCCGCTGCTTATTTAGCAACAAAATAGTAATTGTTGCATTGCCACGCTATTCCTTCGCATTGCTGCCGTGCTGCCCCACCAACAACACCTTGGATGCCACAACTGCATACTCAAAGCACGCTGCGTGTTAACGCTTCACCATTCGCTGATCCTTCTACGCCAATTCACTGATTTTGGTGTTGATTTGCGCAATTAAAATGCGCTCAGGTGTGCTGTAAATCTAAATACACGCGCCTCTGTTGTTATTGTTTTAATTTGTTTGGTCTGACTCTTTTTTTTTTTTGTTAATTCATAAATATTGCATTTGATTGAACTTCTGCTGGTTCGCATGCGCGGCAAGGTTGGCCGGCTGGTTGGTTGGTTGGTCGGTCGGCTGGTAGTTTAATTGATTTTCAACTCGAATGATTTTTAAGGTTTGCAAATATGTATGTTTGTATGTATGTATAATCACCTACAGTGCTCTTTAATTAGACTTGGAAAATTGCGGTTAATAGTGTTTTGAAAAAAGTAGAAAAATGCACAGTAGCTCAGAAAAAAATAGGGGCAGTGTACTTCATAAAAATTTCGCAATAACTCAAATGAATATCGAGATAATCACCAATAGACATGAGAGCGATAGAAAGCTGATAATTAAAATTTCTGAGGCGAATGTCGACTTTTTAACTTTGTTTGCGATACTTGAATACTTATTAAAAATTGATTGCAATAATTTATTTAATTTAAAAACATTGATATGAAGAACTAACTTATGTACCGTTTTACATTTTTTCAGAACAAAATTTGTCTTTAAAGGGCAGATAAATTTTGAAACCAACATGAGAAACTGGCCCTAATTATATTAAAAGCCAATTTGTAGGGAGGTGGGTAAACAAAACAGGAAGAAAATGCAACACAAATGACGTTAATTACAAACTTTATTAAACAAATGTAACCAATATGAATAGTTAGTTGGTTCCTTTGATACTCCTATCTACATATATGTATGTATCAGTAAAAATATAGTATTTATGAAACTCTTCCAAGTTTTGTAGTTTTTTGGGCGCCAGAAAATCCGTTATGCAAACTATTTCAAATTTTCAGCGCACATATGTATGTATGTATGTACATTTTACATACATAAACTTTTGTCTAACTAATTAAGCTTTCATTAGCATTTAGCTACCGTTTTTATACAGAAACACACTCACTAATTGACTTATTTATCCAATCATTCATCGTGGCCATTCACAGAAGAAACAACTCATTTACATAGTTTAGCACTAAAACGTGACGCATGCGCTGCTGTGTTGTGGTAGCAGGTATATAAACCCAGTCAACATTTTTAAACAAAAGTGACTCGAACTCGAGTCTTATTTACACGCTTTTGTCTATTGAGAATCGTACGCGGCGCATTTTCAGAATTATAAAACGAGTTGCAGGAGTGCTAAGAAAGCGGCTCTTACATACATATGTATATGTATGTGAGGAAAGGGTAGTTTAATGGCTCGCCAAGGGAAACTCATAAAATATTCGATTTTCATAGCGCACCAGAATTATCTTCAAACACTCTTATAGATATGTGAGTTCCAAACGACTTGACAATCTTGCAAATGCTAGCTGGGAATATAAATATGTAAATATTTTTGTGCCTGTGTGCTTAGAAAATATAACAGTTTTGAAAGCGCGCGTTCTAATTGCATAAATGAAGAGAAGTCACGCGACGCAAAACAAACGCCCTTCACACTTCATTAATTTACATAAGGAATAAACAAAAATTATAAAATTTTAATACGCTAATAAAGGAGCGTTATGTTCATACATATATAAATGCCTACGATCGAAGCGCGAAAGTTGGCCAAGTTCTCTTTTTATGCTGCTCAAACAGGTCAATAAACGCCTCAAAATCGTTATGAATTATAATTAGCGTAGAAGGAGTAGTAGAACTTTGAAAAGGAAACCCCTATTCTGCTTTAGCATTAAAATTGCAATTTCTAGAATAAAAATTTTTCAAACATTTAAGTCGAAGAGGAAATATTGTTTTACTAAATGTAAGGAACAAAATGAGAAAGTTTTAAATCATTAACTAATGTTAGCTTGCAATATGTATGTATGTAAGTATGAACATATTTGAGTACATATATTCAGACAATTTTAATTTAAGCTAGTAAATGCGTTGCCAACGCCGTACTGCTAAAAAGTAGTTAGTAAGATAATAAAATTAAATATTTATCAAAATTGTAAGTATTTATTTTTTACGATTTTATAGCAATTCTACGAAAAAAGATGTGTGGAGGCATGGTTAGATAAATAAAAAAAATACGGTTATCATTATTTAAGATATTCTTCTATTCAGAGAGTGGTTGGAAAACAAACTGCCCTGCAGAAAAAAGTTATCAATTCGGAGTTCAAATAAATAACTAACATTTAACTAGCTATGACAAAACAAACTTTAAGTTAGTTGTAACGTCGTGCAAGGGTCATGCAGACATTATCGGGAGTTTGTTTTCTTTGCAAGCTTCTCTTTAAATATCCTCACAAAAATTACTTTCAATACACTTTTTTTCTGAACTTCGCAGATTATTTTTCGTATTCAGGTCAACAAAAAGGAAAATCGAAATTTTACTTTATCATTTTGAAGTTATGGCTGACGGGGTTCGAATATGGGACCACCTAGAGCAGTATATGCAAAGAATTATGAAATGTTATAAAATAAAGTAAATAAATAAATACATAAAAAGTAAAAAAAAAAAATATATATATTTTGTTTTTCTTACTGATATTTTATTTCACAAACTAGTTAGCTACAGTTCTGACTATTTTGCGGCCATCGCCCTTCAAAAGTAGTTAGTTTCCGCCAAAGGAAATAGTTACTAAATAATAAATTAATAGTTAGCTACAAACTACTTCCATTTCCTACAGGGTAGTTACCACTAGTCGAATGCTAGTTAGTTAATAGTTAGCTACAAACTAGTTCCATTTCCTGCAGGGTGTGTACATACATTTGTATTTACTACATACATGTATGCATACGAGGTATTAATTGCTAAGAAACTAGTTTGAACTTAAGTTTCTACACACAAAATTATATCAGAAGTTAACCGTAAACATTTATATGTCGTTTAACTTTCTAAACGAAATTACAACTACTTTACTAAGCTACTACAAACAGCTAAAAAAAAATTATTTTAAAAATGAAAGTCATTTGACAATCGCTAATGTGCTGAAAGAGTAATTAAAAATTTATTTCTTTAAATAATTCTTTATGTAATTAGGCATTAATTAAAAAATTGTATTTATTAAATCTCATTAATATCAAAAAATTGCAAATGGCATGGAATAATAAATATAATACGATATGTATTAATTATGGTTCAAAAGTACAGAATTTTACTTTCTTCAAATTTTACTCTTTTTTTTAATATTTTTATTGAGCTTTGTACCACGATTATTTTAATCGAAATGAAAAACAAGCATCACTTTTTGATTAAAAAGGACCTCATTTTCAATATCGTCGGATCCCTAGTCAGAGTTATAGATATGGGTAGCAGACGAAGTGCACTTTCCTCAAAGGTGTATTAATTTAGTATTTACCTTATCTTATCACTCTAATCGTGATTTCATTTCTTCCAAAAAGCCAAATAGAAACCTCATTTTCAGGGCAACCATCTTTGTTAGAAACGAAATCAACATAACTAAATAACATTTTTCTAATAGGTGACAACCCGCTACAAAAATATGTTCGGCGGTAAAATTTCCTAAATCTCAAAGTTTTCAAACAGGTGGCAACCTTCCCAAAAAAAAAGTTCGGCTCTAAGCCTTCTTAAACCTCTTTCTTTTTATATCCATGTTGCAATATCTACTTACTTTAACTTATCAATTTTCTTAAAATGCAATTTTCTAACAGGTGGCATCTCTCTAATTATTATTTTTTCGCTATATTTTAAGTTACACCTTTAGCAATGCATCGGTAAAAACTGTATTCAATTCCAGACAGACAAAAATTCTAAAATTTGTTGTTGCTCTAATAAATACTCCAAATATTAACTTTTCTTTAATATCTGTAATATACAGACATCAAACTTTTACAATTTTATTAGATGTAAAGATTTACTATTTAAAAGCTTTTTTAAACACTCCTACGTATTATACCAATATTGCACGGGTACATCTCTTTTATACATTCCGATAAATTAAAAAAAAAATCCAAATTTTTTTCGCTTAGTAAAACGAATAAGAATCGCAGCTAAAAATTAAAACTCTTTCCATATTATTTAGCTCAAAAAGATCAATGCCACTGTTAAG